CCCTCTTAGCTTCCCCTTCCTGATCCAGGAGCTTAAGTTACTGAGGTCAGCAGAATGGAGAAAGGCAAACTGAAAGCCAAAATAACCAAAACAGGGAATGGATCTCAGCAAGCTTTCTTTATTAAGCAGTGGAATGACACATTGTCAGGAGAGAAAAATGGCACCTGATGGCAGGAGGGGTCTGATTTTTTTATAGAGTTTGAGTGAAATTTGATTGATAGGTTCCTGTGAGATTTGATTCATAACAAGATTTGAATCATTTGTAAAATGCACTGGATGGGCAGTCAGGGGGAACAATTGTGCACGGTCAAAGTGCAAATCAGGAAACTGTTGCAAAAATTCAAAACCCACTGTTGCTGGGGAAAAGGTGAAGGAACTCCAGAGCCCAGAGCTCATTGTTTCCTCTCCCTGGTCCCTGGTCCCTGGTCCCTGGTTCACACTGTCCTCCTTTCTCCCTGGGGGTTGTTACCCACCCCACCCCCTGCCTTTTTTTTTTTCTTGTCCTTCACAAACAGTAACTGCTTTTCTTCCTTTCGGGGCCATTTGTCCTAAGTGTCATGACACTTATGTCCTGTTGGCCAGAACTGAGTTATATGGTCACATCCACCTACAAGGGAGGCTGGGAAATCCAGCCTTTTTTTCCAGAGCACCAAGTGCTCAGTTAAAAGTCAGGAATACTAGGCTAGAGACGTGGCGCAGTGGTCAGAGGCTCTCCTAGTGTGTTTGAGGCTCTGGATTGACCCCAGTGCTGGAAAAAAAAAATCAGGAATACAAAGATGACCCTGGTGCATTAGCAGGGCAGAGTCTACTGAGCAGACAGCTATTCCTGAATCAGGCAGTGCTGGACCCCAGGGGGTTAGGACTCCTTCAAAAGGAGGACAGGGGAGACATAGAAGGTGCTAGAAGCAGGTAACAATCAGACAAGATGTTTGGTTAAAGTGGAGCAGGAGCCTGAAAGCCCCTATTTAGAGGTTAGTTGGTGATTTCATTAGGGAAGGGTGACACTGGACATCAAATAGTTGATTTTGATGGGCGAAACATCAATTTCATTTCCTAGGCTACGATCATTCATGCTGAGTTAGGTTTCAATTTGTTTATGTAAGAAGTCAGGGCACCAGAGTCGCCTCAGTCCAGTGTCTTCACAATTATCTTAAATGGGAAAAAGACTACCTGAGGGACACTAGTGGTTGCTTTTTGTTTGTTTGGCCCTGCTGGGGATGGAGCACAGGTCAAGGGCCTCACTTGCTTTATAAGCACTGAACTATCAAGCTACACCCCAGCCCCAGGTTAATTATCTTAAATGGAAAGAGGATTATTTGGGGGACATCTAGTGGTCTCTACTAGTGTCCTCCCTTCCTACTCTGTCATCGGCTGTCCTCCAGGAAACCTTCTCAGGCATCTTCAATGCTTAAGTCCCTCTTCCTTTGCCCTCCGGCTTGGGAAGTCTAACCCCTGTAAGGAATTTGGAATAAGGGACGGAAAATTATTGGATATTTCCAGTGGAAAGCTATGCATTTTGGGGGGTAGGACACATCTTTAGCCTTTTGTGGCCTTGGAGCTATTTAATGACTAACTCTGCATTGTAGATGACAGATAGTGACGCAAAATAACCCAGGTCTATGATCATGCAAATAAATTGCCCAGTGGATGTCAAATTGAAGTGGAAGTAGGCGATTTTTACATTTATATGTAAATTAATTTCACCTTTTCTTTGCTTCTCATAAATGTGTTTGACTCCTCTGAAGACATGGTCCCCTCATTAATAATGACTTAAATACAATCTTTAATGCATTTATTTATTTATCTATATGAGGGTCTGATTTTTCTTCTTTTCTTTTTTTTTTTGGAAATTATCCTTCGCCACCACACCACTTAGTAAGGGGAGGAGCCAGCAGGGCAGATGCCAGCCTGGCAGAAGAGCCCAAGAAGAGAAACAGGAAGAGGAAAAGGAAGCGCCTCTGGAGATAAACGGCAGGTCTTGGGCCTGGGGCCAGGTTCCCAGGGAAGAAGGCCAAGCGGTACTGGGACTGAGGCTGGGCCACGGGCAGCAGGGTGGGGGCAGGCGGTCTGTCTAGTTCCATGGGGCCATCTATTTGACCTTGTTCCTGACAACCTGATTATTCTGGTCCTGTCAACCTGCTTGGAAGATGTGGGTAACATCCCAGATATCTGGATGATGACAAGATGGGCAAGGCTGTAACCAAGATTCCTTCCAAACCTGGGGGAGCCTGGGCTGGGACCTGAGCCTCCCTCTCCAGCCCCTCTTTCCTGCATACCCATCACCCCATGACCCAAGTCACCTCTTCACCTCTGGGGCTGGATCAGGCCATTCCCTCCACTTGGAACACTCTCGCTCTTAAGACACAGCAAGTGGGGAAATGAGAGTCAGTGCATAGCCAGGGACAATCACGGCAATCGTGGCAGGCATGGGAGAGAGCCAGGACTAAAACCTCAAGTGCCATATGGAAAATTCAGAATCAGGCAGAGGCTGTGCAGGGTCCCAGCCCCCGCCTCTTTCCTCCTTGGCATTCCAGTTCCATCCTGGTCTGGTGGCCTGAGCTCATCATCAAGAAACCTTTTTTTTGGGGGGGAGGGGGAACAAGGTTCTAAACTCAGGGGCACTCAACGGATGAGCCACACCACCAGCCCTATTTGGTATTTTATTTAGAGACAGGGTCTCACTGAATTGCTAAGTGCCTCTGATTGCTATTGCTGAGGCTGGCTTTGAACTCATGATCCTCCTGTGTCATCTCCTGAGCTACAGGTGGGCACCACTGCACCTGGCACAGAACCCTGTCTGATGGATGAGCTAACAGATGGGAATTAGGTCTGGGTCTGGCAGGAATTTGCCCGTGGTTGCATGGTAGTGGAAGGTACCATGCCACCCCTACTCCATATAGGGGCTTGGGCCGGGAGCCAGGAAGACAGCGGCAGGAAGGGGAAGCCCAGCCTGGCACCCCATCCGGGCAGCCAGTGGGACATAGGCAAAATTGAGTGTGTGTCTAGGCAAATGTCTACCTGGCTCAGCTCAAGATGACCTGCCTGTCTGTCCCATCCCCCTAGGTCCCACTGTACTCACTGTCACCCCACTCTCAGGACCCTTTGAGGACCCCGGTGACAGTATGGAATGGTCTTCAGGCATGTTTCTGTCCCTCCTCCCTTATCATGGCTCAAGTTGCTTCTGCCTTTACCATTCTGTCTGGCAGACCCCAGTGCCACGTCTCCAGCTGAGATCTGGGTCTACTGAGTCCTGCCCCCAATTCTGGCTCCAGCCTGGCCTGGAGGGCACTGGCGGGGGGGGGGGGAGGAAACAAGGTCCTAGTGTCCTAGGGCGTGGACATCCTTTGCTCTTGGACCCAAGCCATTAGTAACCAGATCTTCCTGGGTGTGAGGGTGCCTGGGAAGGGGGTGGCCCCCTGCCAGACCCAGAAGAGGTGGGGTAAAGGGTGCTCATACTCACCTCACTCCTCCTCAGTGGGACATCAGTGTCTGTGGGGACATAGCTTCTTGGCAGCTCCAGGGCCTCCAGGTAAGACCTGGGGGCACAGGTAAGGGAGGCAGAATAGGGGTGCCGGAGTGAGTTGGCTGGCCTGGGACACAGGTCAGTGGCATAGGTGGGTAGAGTGGCTTCTGGAAGAATGGGGGCCATGAAATTAGGACTGGAGATAAAGGGTGCCAAAGCCTCTCCTTGCTCTTGGAGGGTGTCCCTCCCTGCTGTACCTGGCTAGGCCCAGGCCTTATCCCTCACCCAGGAGTGGGAAGGGGATGGAGGCAGAAGCCATGGGTGTTGCAGACAGGAGATGGGCAGTTAAGCAGTGGGAGGTATGCTGGTCAGGAGGATTGGATGATCCTGGGATCACTGGGGCCGGGGAGGGGCTATGGAGGGTGTTTCTCCATCCCCTCTCCTTAGAAAATATCCCCGACTGGAAAGGGGAGCAGACTGGGGAAGGGGTATGTTCAAGCAGAAGAAACTGGATAGGGTTCAGAGGTAGAAGAGGGACAGGAGATCAGCTGGGGTGCTCTCTGGGTCTGAATCCTACTGCAGAGTTCCCTATCTCTGGGTTCCAGCAATTAACTCCCCAGAAGAGGAGGCTCTGATACTCCAGAGCAGGTACTGTCCGTCTTGGTAGGGTGACACAGAAGCTAGGCTCCTTGGTGGGAGAGGCATCCAAAACTTCCCATGGACTCCCGCGTGTAACTCCTGTGACTCAGGAGGTTGAAGCAGGAAGATCACAAGCGCAAGGCCAGCCTCAACTTAGTGAGACCTTGTCTCAAAATAAAAAAAGAACTGGGGATGTAGCTCAGTGGTAGAATGTCCACAGATTCAATCCCTAGTACGTTTAAGGAAGAAAGAAAGAAAGAGGGGAGATAGATAGATGGATAGATAGATAGATAGACAGATAGATAGATAGATAGATAGCAAGCAAGCGAGACAGCTTGTTTCTACTGGCCCCTAGCAAGGGGTGTGCAGTATGAAGCTTTTCCAGCCCCCTCCTGTGACTGGAGCAGGGCAGGGGAGGGGCAGGGAGGTGAAATGAAAGCAGGAATGATTGGGAACCGCTGTTGGCTGCAGAAAAGACAAGAGGGTCTGGGAAGGACCCTCTACCCAAAGCCCCAAATCCTCCACACACCCCACACCCAGTGAAGGCCTGTGATCAGGTTTCTGTGTGGGACCATTGCAGGGGGACAGTTCTCTTTTTGGTTCTTTAGACTCACCACTCAGTCTGATGAAGTGGGAGCAGGGACCAAACTGGGACAGGAGCTGGGTTGGGGATGGGGTATGGCCGTAAATATCAACCTATCATCCTTATGCTCCATCCTCCTGCACTCAGAGCTCCCCATACGACCATCTGAATCATAACCTCGCTATCCTCACCACCCTCCTGTGACTCTTCTGTCACGGCAGCCAGGTCCCACACCACATTCCCACCCTTACCATCACCAGCCTCACCTGAGACTCTTCCTCAATGTGTTTTCTGGCCCATACATCCTCAGGCGGTGGGCCAGACAACAGTGTCCCCTTTCAAGAGCCTGCGGCCCAACAGCACAAGACCTGAGGGCATTTTCGAGTCTGTGCCAGACTCTGGGGCCTTGGGAGCCTGCAGGTGCCTTCAGCATGGGCGAGCAGTGTCTTCCAGCTGCTGCGACTCTCCTGGCTGGTAAGGGGGTAGGGACAAGGCAGGCTAGACTATAAGGCCCTTGTCCCTACCCACTCACTTGGGGGGGGGGTGGCAGGGGTGAGCCCCGCTAGCTCCCACATCAGGGCTGACCTTCCTTGTTCTTGTATGAGTCTACCTTGGCCAGCCAAGAGGATGCCAGGGAAGGGCCAGAGCCCAAGTCCCTAGTTCCCAGGCTTGGGGCTTCCTGAGAGCACTAGGGTTACCACCTGAAGGAACCTGGTGCAGGGTAGGCCAGCATGGGGTTCAGTGCACACTTGTAGATAGGTGAGGGATTAATCCCCAGAGTTCAGAGGTGACCCCACATATGCATCCCTCCTGTCCAGTCCCCAAGAACCATTCTGAGTGCTGGGAATGTGGTCAGGCCTGAGCCTCGGCCATGATGAAATGGGCAGCACTTCCAGCACCCTTGGGATGGGCCCCAGGAGTCATTTAAACAGATCAGCCAGAGCCCCAGGCCTCAGATCCCGTGGAGCACTTGGGGCCCAGGGACCTTCCCTTAGGGAGGGACCCTGCTATGGGGTGAAGTTGGGATGGGACGCAGAGAGAGGGACCCTTCGGGTGAGTCCCTTAACCTCTAGAGTCCTTCCTGGGGGGCAGCAGGGCTGGCTGTCTGGTGGGCTAGCATCGGACATCTGGTGGGAGGTTATTTTCCTGGGGTAGCTTAGTGGTTTGGGGGCAAAGGTTAGCCAGGGTTTGGATCTCCCAGGCTCCTGAGGGAAGGGGAGGTCCCAGGGGCTGTGGGCCAGCCCTGCCCCCACAGTGTCCCAACAGGGCCTCTCCTGTTTTGCAGCTTTCATGGTGGTCTCGGCTTCTGTCCTGCCCCTTACTTCTGCTCACAAAGACTCTGGCCAGTCACCCTTGGCCCCTGGTGCATCTCCTCTGCAAGTCAGCAAGAGGGCACTTCTGGCACTAGACGTCCTGACAAAGACCTCTGATAACGTGGTTTCCCTCCTTGGTGGGGAATTGGAAGCACCTGGGAAAAGGGCAGAAGCCCTCTCTCAGGGGCCAGCTGGGGGCCACCAGGCTCCTGGAAACTTGTCCTTGGATTCCTCCTCACACCAGCTGACCCCCTTGGGAAAAACTGAGGTCTCAGGCAAGGCCACACCTGGCCCAGCATCATCATCACTGACTGAGTCCCAGTCAGAATCCTTAGTGACTGAACCTGCAGACACCATGTTGGCCCCTGGAACTCGGAAGATTACTGCCATGTTACAGTCATGGGCTTCTCCTGTCCGTGGGACTGGGAAGAACTTCAAGATCCCTGGATCGTCTGTGACAGTCCAGGCTCCTGCCTCTGCAACCCTGGGGGCATCTGCCACCCCTAGACTAACTCAGGTGCCAGCCAGAGCACCCCTGGTCCCCACCACTCCTACACCCCCACGACCACCAGCCTGGCTCTCGGTCAGGCACACCCCCATTCCCAGTGTCCAGATGCCATCTGTCTCAACAGCAGGTTTCTTCAGGCCAGAAGCCTCCCCGTCTCTGACATTGGCACCAAGGGGCCCAGGGAAGGTGGTGTCCTTGGTGTCCTTGGTGTCCCCAGGCCGACTTGAGTCTGCTGAGTCAATGGCTAACACACAGCCAGACACAGAGTCCCTTGCGCCTGCAGTTCCAGGGTTGTCAGGGCTGGACACCATCTCCCCTGCCCTTGTAGCAGGCTCAAGACCACCCCAAGCTGCTGTGGCTTCTGGCCTGGGGCCCAGTGGTCCCCTGGGGCCATTGCCCTCAGTATTGCCATTCTTCTCCCCACAGCCCTCAGCAGCACTGCCCCTGTCTCCCTCCCCATCAGCCATATCTTTGTCACTGTCACCTTCCCTGTCACCATTACCACCACCACCATCCCCAGTCCTAGCCCCAGTTTCCTCCCTCACCACCAGAGCCAGAAGTCCTCCTCCGCGCTTGGAGTCTGCGCCAGTGCCTTCGACCCCAGATTCTCCCCTCACACCTGCCCTGCTACCCGCGACAGTTCCACAGCCAGCCACGCCTCAAGGGACAGTTCGGCCTGGGTGGAGAGTTTCTGCCAGCCCAGCCCCCACGACCACCCTCTCCGTCCCATCTTCCTCCAGGCTTCCCTCCGCTGCCCCTAGCGCTGGCTCCCCCAGGGTCCCTGCAGGTGCTGATCCCACCCAGCCTTACGACTTGCCTCACTCTGGCCAGGCTGTCTCTTTGCAGGACTCAACATCCTCGGCCCCAGAACCCAGTTACCTAACCCACTACGTGACCTTCAAGATCTCCAGTGAAGTCTTCTCAGTTTCACAGTGGAACCCTGTGGCCCTGGAGCATCAGCTGCTCAATGAGCACGTCCGCCACGAGGTGAGGCCACTGCCATATGCCGGGCAGAGGGGCGCGGAGGGGCGCGGAGGGGCGCGGAGCTGTGTCCAGAGCACAAGCTCCCTGGGCGCAGCTGGGCGCAGAGCTGAGCTGGGAATGCTCCATAAATCAATGAGCACCACCCTTGTGCTTCTTGGGGTGCAGGAGAGACATGTGGAGTAAGCAGTGGGCAGGAAGGGGGAGCCCAGGCAGAAATACCTCTGGGGAGTAGATGCAGGGAGAAAACATCCTCAGTGCAGAGACCCTGCCACGGGAAATCAGAGGAGGCTTTGTTGTTGTTGTTGTTGTTGTTGTTTGGGTATGGGGATTAGCTGAGAGGCACTCACCCACTGAGCTGCATCCTCAGCCTTATTTTATATTTTATTTAGAGACAGGATCTCACTGAGTTGCTTAGCGCCTTGCTTTTCTGAGGCTGGCTTTGAACTCACGATCCTCCTGTCTCAGCCTCCCAGCCGCTGGGATTACAAGCGTGCACTGCCGCACTCTGCTGACTGACTATTTTTTTTTTATTTTAAATATATAATGTTATTGTATTTATTTCATACTTTTATTTTATTTATTTATTGTATGTGGTGCTAAGGATAGAACCCAATGCCTCACACATGCTAGGCAAGTGCTCTACCACTGAGCTAGAAATGCAGGTCTGGCTGACTTTTTTCTTAGCCCAAAGCCTCATCAGAGACCTGTGGGCCCTCACACCCTGGCAAAGAAGGCACAGTTTCTGGACCCCAAACCAAATCCACCTGCCAGATTCTGGAACCACAGGCATGAAGGTGCCTTGGTAGAGAGTGCCAGTTCTTGCCTGTCATCTAGGAGGAACTCTGAGTGTCCACTAGTTCACTGGTTCATGCCTCCATTCAACTAATTCATCTCTTCATATAACTCCTCGGGTGCTTACTATACTGAGTGCACCGTGGTCCTACCCTCAGGGAGCCTCCAGTCTGCAGGGGGAAAAAGACAGAGGAATGCTTACAATCACGATAAGCTACGTGAAGAACAGACAGGCTAAGCAGATGGCCAGGGTCAGAGGGTTGCCCAGAGAAAACTTTCTGAGAGGGGGAAAATTTTTGAGAGTAGGGGCTATCCCAGGGATTGAACCCAGCAGTCTTAACCCTTGAGTCACATCCCTCTCCCTTTTAAAATAATTTTTATTTAGATACAGTCTTGATGAGTTGCTTAGGGCCTCACTGAGTTGCATAGGGCATCGCTAAGTTGTTGAGGCTGGCTTTGAACTTGTGATCCCCCGGCCTCAGCCTCCTGAGCCACTGGGTTTACAGGTGTGCACCACTGCACCGGGCTTCAGAGAGGAAAATTTTAAGGGGGGTAGAGATAAGGTAGTCAGATGAAACAGGGAGGGGCCTTGAAGGCAGAGGGAACAGTAAATGTGAGGACCTCCAGATGGACAGGTGGTCAGAGATGGCACGGGGGCTCCATGGAGAGTGACTTGGGGCAGGAGTGGAGACAGAACAGGAGAAGGAACTGTAATACAGGCCAGAGAGGCCTAGGTGACAGCTTTGCAGTGCAGAGCCCAGGATGATTGGATTGGAGAGGGATTTTTCAAGAAAACCAATAGCAGAGAGGGAAGAGCCCAGGGAGGCATTTGCAGCTCCCTGGACAGGTTTTAGAGGTGATGGGCAGGTCTCTGGCCACAGCCTAGGGCACAGCTTGGGCAGGGCCCAGCAGGGCAGGGGGTCAGTGAGGAAGCCCCTGCAGAGGCCAGGTCAGGGATGGTGGTGGTAGAGGGGAGGCTTGCCAGCCTCCACGGCTCTGTCTGTCCACAGCTGCAGTTCATCTACCGCAGGGCCTTCCCCAGCTTCCAGGGCGCCCGTATCCTGGAGTTCAGGTGAGTGCATGTGGCTCTCAGCCCCCCACCCAGCTGATCTGTGCCTTCCAGCCACAGGGCACTATTCCAGGCTACTCAGTCCCCCATCGCCCACTGTGTCCAGGAGCCACAGGGGCCAGGAAGAGACTCCACCTGTGGTTCTGCCCCTGGTTGTGCTGTGTGACCTCAGATGGCCACCTGTCCATTGGGAACCTGATTCCAGCTGCAGGGTTTGGACAGGAATGCTGGACATTGTCTGGGCACAGTGGGAAGGCAGGGCAGCAAGAACGAGTCCCTCATTCCCAGGGTAGAGTGTGCGAAGAGATGCCACTCCCCCAGGTGCTTTCTGATTCTGAGCATCCAGGGAAAGAGGACGCTGGGGTGATCGTGGCCAATTCAGCTGTGAACCAGTTGTGATTTCATGAGTGAGGCTGAGGAGGTCCAAGTCGTCACAGCCCCACTTTAGTGGGCTCAGGGGCACCTAGAATCCCCTACTCGAAGGAATTTAGAAGCTCGAATACTCTCAGTGATGGGGAGCTCACTATCTAGCCAGGCCAACGTCCCAGCTGGTCAGAAAGCTTTCCCACGGAATGAACTGGAGTCCCCTTTGACTCCCCTGCCCTGGGCCTGAGCAGAACTTTTATCTCCCCACCCTTGAGATGCACAGGTAATCAAGGGAAGGAGAAAAGTCATTCTGGATCTTGAGCCTGCTTGTTTCCAGGCCTTTCTCTAACAGCTTCTTCAGACCTCTGCTGAGGCCAGCTGTCTCCCTAGAACATGACCAGCTGGTTTATCCCACAGGCTTTCAGAAATTCCTCAGACGTGCTGGGAAAGGGGGCACACGCCTGTAATCCCAGTGACTCCTGAGGCTGAGGCAGGAGGATTGCAAGTTTGAGGTTGGCCTGGGAAACTTAGTGAGACCCTGTTTCAAAATTTAATAAAGGGCTAGAGGACAGAGCTTGGTGATCACGTGACCACCCTGGGTTCAATACCACCCTCCAAAACAAAAACCAAAAAACCTCAGACCTCCCTGTCTCCAGAACTCCCGCTCCTTATGATGAAGCCGAAGATAGTTTCCTCAGTGTCATTCAGACTAGCATCCTGAGAGCTCAAAGCCTGCTGCAGCCTAGCCGGGTAACCCTGCCCAGCCCGGGGCAGGATTCACAGTGCTCTCATGAAAGCCACTTTGCCGTGGTGTCCAGGTGAACTTGCTTTCACTGAGCACTTGCTTTGTGCTCTCCTGATGGGGTCATTCAGGCTTCACCACAGTCATCCGGAAAAGGGCTCATCATCCCCATTTGACTAAGGAGGACACTGAGGCCCAGAGGGGTGACAGGACCTGCTTCAAGTCATACAAGAAGACTTCTCTGTGCAACCAATGGCTTCCCCTATAGACATCCCTCCCTCGGGACACTGGTCCCTGTCACCTCCTGGGGGCCCAGTGAAGACCTGGCTCTGTCCACAGGCCTGGCTCTGGAGCTGTAAAGGCCTCCCTTGTGTTCGGGGGCTGGGCTGTGGGCCCCTCTGCCCGGGAAGTCCTCTGGATTTTGTACCGCCAAGTGAAGGCCTCCAGGGGCATGCTGGGGCACCTGTTCCTGGATGAGAGCAGCCTTGCTGCTTCCGGTGAGTCCTGCCTGTCCCCAGGCCTCTGTGCCAGGCCCACAGGGAGTGCCAGGAGGTGGTGGGAGAGGAGGCTCCCGGGGCCTCCCAGCTCCCCCTGTGGCTTGCAGGGTCCCCCCTCACCGACTTAGCTCTGGAGACCATCTGCATCAGTTTCACGGCCATGAAGCCCTTCCTGCCTGAGCTCGTCCTGCCTGGTTCTGCTCCCTTTGTCCTGCTGGAAGACCAGATCCTCCACCTGGTGAGGTGGCTCTCCCCCTGTGTCTGGGGGCTGGCGCGCTTACCCTGCCTTCCTCGAAAACAGAGGCAGCATCCAGCGTGGCCCTGTGGGGGGGGGGCAGGGTCGGGTGGGGTCGTGAGGAGGACACAGCTCTTCAGGGGAACATGTGACCAGGCTCTGTGACCAGATACCCCAGCCCAGGAGGCCTTGTGCAAGGAGGCTCTCAGATCCTGCCCCACCCCTCCTGGGTCTCAGGAGAGACAGCTCCTGGCCAGCTCTGGAGACCATCCGGACACTGACCTCCAGGACTCCCTGCAGGTGACCCCTGTGGTGTCGAGATTCTACAAGGAGCATCCCCAGGAAGGCCCCCTGCTCCTTTTCAGGTGGGTCAGGTCCCGTCCCTGCCCACCCAGCCTGCTCTGCCCCTCTCTTGGGGGCTTCTCTCTGGAGTAGCAGGGGCAGCTCCATCCCTGAACCAGAGCTGGGACATGGAAGCATTGAGTTGGGGGCCACCCAGGGGAGGACTCTGTGCTGGTAGCTCCCTCTAGCCTCACGGAGCTCTGCCCTTGGAGGTAGGAAGCTCCCTCCTGAGGGTGTGCACATGGGGGCTCAATGCCTGCTTCTAGACACCCATGCTGGCACAGAGCCCGTGACCCTGGCACTGTCCACTGTTCCTCCCTAGTAACAAAGACCAATGGGTGAGAGTGTCCATGGAGTACAGGTTCCAGAACTCTATCCCCACCCACCTTAGAGGCCTGGCCAATCACCTGGCTCACAGCATCATGGATCCCATCCTCCAGAAATCCAGCATTGTGGCCAATGGTGAGTCAGTGCAGCGTCCCTGTTGTCTCTGGTCAGCAGTGTCCTACCTCTTTAGGCCTCCTCATTCCCTTTCTGCAGATGGGCAGAACTTCCTTTCAACAGCAAAGTTCAAGTGCCAGGGCCGAGGGAGAAAGCAGACATGGAGCGTTGGGTGGGGGAACTGGATAGAGGCGAGAAACTCGGGTCAGTGAGACAAGATGGGCAATTCCTTCGTTGTCCAGGATCTCAATGGATCCTAAGTGACAGGATCTGGGGGTGTGGATGTAGCTCAATGAGAGAGCACTTGACGAGCATGCATGAGGACCTGGGTACCATCCCAGCACCACCAAAAACTAACGAGATCTGTCCCAAGTCAGGAGACAACTGCTCAGCTCAGCCCATCTGCAAGAAAACCTAGTGTCCCCTTGAGCCCCTCCCATAGGGACATTTAGGCAGGCTTGTGTCATATAAAGAGATGGCCATTCATCACTCACACTGAGAGAGCTCTGGGTCCACTCCATGCACTCCAGCCACACAGACTGGAACTGCTCTTGTGAGGTTCCTCAGCCCAGAAAGTGCTGGTGCCTCTTGTGGCCTCTTGGGGGACATCAGTGCTTCTCCTTCCATTCCTGCCCTTGAGTCCCTCCAGAGCAGTTATCAGGTGCCAGCAGGCCCGGAGTGCAGACAGGTTGGCTTGGGACTCAGCTCTCCAGGGGCCAGAACCACTCCCCAGGGAGCCATCCCCCAGCATATGGGCAGCCTTCCTTTGCCAGTCTTCCCAACCTGCAGGACCCGTCACAGCCCATTATCAGACAGCAGAGCACCCCTGCCCTTGTGGAGAAGGCTGTGCTGCTGGTCTATCAGCCCCTCCACTGCCCCACCTGGGAGGTGCAAAAACTCTTTGCACTTCTCCCCCTGAGCAGGGACAGGTGAAAGAAAACCAGTCTCCTACTCTGCTTCTAGCGCCTCTCATTGGCCATCCCATGAGCTAGAGGGGTCACACTGTCCACCCCTGTGGTGAGGACACAGCCATAGACAATAGTGAGCTTGGTCATGCTCCTGTGAAACCTTATTTATGGATGTAGAAATGTGTGTATGTCACATAATTTTTATGTCATAAAATGCTCTACTTTTCCCACTACTTAAGAATGCAAAAGCTGTCCTAGTGTGAGAGCACACACCTGTGATCCCAACAATTTGGGAGTCTGAGTCAGGAGGATTGAAATTTTGAGACCAGCCTCAGCAACTTAGAAGGACCTAAGCAACTTGGTCAGATCCTGTCTCAAAATAAAAAAGGCAGGGGAGAGTAGCTCAATGGTTAAGCACTGTTGGGTTCAGTCCCCAGTACTGGGGGGGGGCACCCTTAGCTCATGGGCCACACAAAAGCAGGGAGCTTTGGCTCTTGAACTGAAGTTTGCAGTAGGATTTGGGCATGTGGCCTGAGGCAGAATGTGGGTCCTGTCCCAGGATTCCTAGGAGATGAGGCCCCTGATAAATGTCACCCACACTCCACCTTTTACTCTAGGGGAGAAGGCAGAGCTGGTGCTGTATGAGATGTGGCTGCAGATCCTAGGCCAACCCTTCACCAATGCTTTGAAGGACAAAACCAGCCCTGAGGCCCAGAAGCTTCGGCAGCAGCTAACGAGATGGGTGAAGTGGTGGGATGGAAGGAAGAAGGAAGAGGGAGGCAGGGGTGGGCGCTGGACCAGGCTTCAGCAGAGCTGTGACCCTCTTCCTCCTCTCCTGACCCTCAGCTGACCAGGGGGCTCAGGTCTCTGCAGAACTTTGGCCAAGTGGTGGTGGAGGAGTTCCAGTGAGTGCCTGGGCTCCGGGGTGGGAGCAGGAGGCTGGAAGAGAGGCCCTCCCCGAGTCATCCCAGGTTTCTCAGTGGCCTGAAGACTGTGGATCCTTCTTCTAGGCCAGAACCACTGACTGCCAAAGTAGGTGCCATCTTCTTTGGGGCCACACCAGCCCAGACCCTCATTCAGGACAGCATGCATCAGGCCCTGCACATCCTGCAGAAAGATGAGGGCCTCCGGGTAGAGATGGTCACCCTAGCCCTCGGTCAGTGCCTCCCTACTTCCTGCAGGCCTCTTCCCTCTGCCCATGTCCTCCATCCATCTGCCTTCTCCCATGGGCTGTCTGACTTGCTGCCCCAGCCTTCCTTTTTCTTCTTCTGGGTCTCAGCCCCCCCAGGCTCAGGCCCAGCCCTTCCTGCTCCCAGGAGTCCCCCAAGGGACTCCCTGCTCCAGCCCTTCTGTTCCTGCAGCACCTTTTAGGCCAGGCACCTGACCTGAGATTCTCTGTGGGCTTGACCTCGCCTTCCCAGGGCAGGGAGGATGGGGACCCGCCCAGCCCCTGCTTTCCTGCTCTCTACGGCAGGCACCCGCAGCTCCGGAGCCTCCCGTCAGCCTGGCACCCCCAGCTCTGCACTCCTCATCCTGAACCTCCTGCTTGTCACACTCATCCTTTTCCTGGTGAGTGTCTGGCTGGGCAGGGGCTCCTTCCTGGAGGGCAGACTGAACCTTTGGGCTCAGAGCTCACTTTCTAACTGAACCTAGGGTCCCCTCGTGTGCCAGATAGAGCTGGGTTTTCAGCCAGGGGCCTGGGCTTGACCCCATGACCCCACCCTTCTTTACAGCCCCAGGTGTTGAAGTAGAAGGCCCCTTTCACAGTGTCCAGCCTGGGGGACCAAAGCATGCATTAATAGTAGCTACACTGCAAGGCACAGAGGCCCTCTCAGCCAGGCAGGGGGAGCCCAGCTCCCTGAAAGCCCTGAGGTGCTTACACTGGGGATGGGACTGTCCTGAAGCCTGGCTCCCATGAGCAGTCCCCAGGCGCCGTTGCTGCAGTGCCTAGGTGGGGAGGTCAATGCACCAGCCATGCCCCTGCCCTATCCAGGCAGAGGCCCAGGGGTGGTCCAGCAGACTCCTCCAAAAAACCACTTGCCTCCAGTTCATTCCTAGATGCCAGGAACAGAACTTAGGGCCTCAGGAGGCCAGGAGAATCAATAGAGAAATGGAGATGTGAGGAGAGGGTCTTGCTTCCCTCCTCCCGAGGACCCCATCGGTGGCACCACAAGTCCCTGTAGAAGGCCCCAACTCAGCTTCCCTTGCCCTCCTGCCCGTCCTTCCCCTCTACGCAGGGCCAGGGCATGGAGGGCTTGTTAGCACAAAATGACCGAGCTGGGTGCAGACTTCACGGATCAGCAAAGCCTTTATTCAGCAACGGTGTCAGGCATCTGGTGGACGCACTTTCCTGATGAGAAATGAGCCACGGGCCAGAGGAGGACTCTGTGCTTATGTATGTTATCCTGAGAGGTAACTTAATTATTGACAGAGCGTGTCAGTTTGGGCACTCAGGAAACAGGTTGTGAGAATGTGACATTTGTTTTTACTGGGCAGTATTTTTACTTGGAGAAGATGGTGGGTCTGGGGTCAGCATTCAGTGCTTATCTCTCTCCCTTCAGGGTCCCATTTTCCTGTCACTGGGAAAGGATTTATTTGGGGAAGGATCAATACTTTGGCTTCCTCCAGGGACTGCCATTCTAGGCTGGCTGGATGTCCTGTCACTGGGAGAGGATCAGTGTTATCAGCATGTTGCCTTCTCCCTCACTCCCTCTTCCCAGGCCACATGAGTCTGGGATTGGTCATTTTCCATATCTTACAGGACTGCTGCCCTGTTCTGGGAGCCTCCAGTTCCTAATTCCAGGCCTTTCCCTCTCTTCTCACCAGGTGACTCCTCATGACATCCTCCCCTCACTGAAACCCAAACTCCAGGCCTCTCCCTGCTTCATCTTATCCAGGCTCCACAGACAATGCCTCAGCCCTGTGGAGAGCAGCCAGGGCTCCAGCATCTCCCAGAAACCCAGAGAGGAAAGCCCAGGGTCACACCACAAGAGGGCGTCTTCCCTCCTGGGACTCCCAAAGACTGGACTCTCAGGGCCTGGGCAGAGGTGGGGATGGGAAAGCAATCCCCTGTCACCTTGCTGGGAGGCCAGCTGAGCTTTAACCCCAGGCATCTCCTTGCCTCATCCCATGATGCATAAAGTCTGGGAAACATTTGCTTTTGATTCTGTGCTCTTGTGGGGCCAGGCACCTCCCACCTCTCCAAGCAGCAGGCGTCCTGCTAACTACAGACTTGGAAGTCAAGGGCACAAGCCTCTCTGGAGCACACACAGCTAGACCAGAAAAGCACAAGGATGTAGACTCAGTGATGGTGTCTATCTGCCAGGCCCGCAGCCACCTCTCACTCTACCAGGATAGGAACTGGGCTCATAGGAGGACTGGGAGCAGGTACTCACACAAACGGTGTAAACAGGGTTGTCCAGAAGAAGGAGCAAGGATCCAGTCCTATATGTACATGTCCCCAGTGTCCCTGGAGAGGGGGGCCATGTAGGCCAGGCCCTGAGGATTTCCCAGCACCTCAGGGAATGAAACATGGTGGGAACAGCAGCCCCGCTTGCCTCTCATAGCACTTTGCAGGTCACCTTCATTCACAGGAGGTGGGTCAGCATCTCAGCCAGGTGAGTGCAACACACTTGTAATTCCAGCAGCTTGGGAGGTTGAAGCAGAAAGATAGTGAGTTCAAAGCCAGTCTCAGCAACCTAGGGTCTCACTGAGTTGCTTAGGACCTTTCTGTCTCTAAATAAAATACAAAATGGGGCTGGGGATGTGGCTCAGTGTTTAAGTGCCCCTGGGTTCAATCCCTGGTACTGAGAAAGAAAAAAAAAAGCAGGAAAGTGGACAGGGCTGGAGGTATTCATATCTGCAAGAAGCTCGACTCATGTTTTTTGGGTATAGAAAAGTTAGGAAACAGACTTCTGTTTGGTATAAAAATTGCCTTTAATCCTAAGGAGTCTAGAGGTTGAAGCAGGAGGATTGCAAGTTCAAAGCCAGCCTCAGCACTTAGTGAGGCCCCAAGCAATTCTGTGAGACCCTGTTTCTAAATAAAATGTAAAATAGGGCTGGGGTTGTGGCTCAGTGGTTAAGTACCCTGGGTTCAATCTCTGGTACCCCCCCCCCAAAAAAAAGGTTGGAGTTGGGGGGATGAGGATGTAGCTCAGTGGTAGAGAACTTGCCTAGAATATGTGAAGCCCTGTGTTCAATCTCCAGGACTAAAAAAAAAAAAAAATGCTTTTAGTTTTAGACATGAGTTTGCAGCATCCTTATTGTGGGGAGGGAGGAGGGCTTGCAGGAAGAGGAAGTGGGGGCAGAAGACTGACTCTCAGAGCTAGGTAGCCTCAGGCTAGAGGGCTTGGGCAATGGGGGCTAACGTGAGGCCCACCTGCTGCAAAGAATCAGAGGCACTGAGAGGTGGATCTGCCAGAGAGGACGAGGAGTCTCAGTGGCAAACCAGACTCTGAGCAGGCCGCCCAGGCCAGGGAAGTCTTGGACCAGGACTGACCTCAGCAGCCTCTTGCTGGCCAGGGACTAAGGATGAGGAGGGGAAAGCAGGTTTGGTGGTCCCCTGGGGGAACATCAGGATAGGCAGAAGTTTTAACCTAGAACGTTCTAGAAACTCCTGGGCTCACCAAGACACAAAGAGGGATTTGGCTGTGGTGATACCAAGGATGGCCTTTGGATCCTGAAAGGGTAGGGGAGTCAGGTGTAGCCCCACCCAAAGGCTTTCCATCCCTGCAGGAAAGTTAGCAGATCCTGTAAGGGGCCCAGACCATGGTCTTACCTGGCCAGAAATGGACTGTACCAAGGTACCAAAGAAGGTGGGCAGAAAGATCACGTGAGAGTTGACAGCTCCTGGTGACAATTTCCTCTGGAGTAGGCAAGCTTCTCAAAGCCCTAAAGGGTCCCACCCCACCACCCCAAAGACCAGCCTGAGACACACATATAACCCAGGGTGGCCTCTCCAGGCGCCACAACTCCTGACTCAAGGCCCAGGCTGTCATGATGCCTAGGACATCCCCATTCAGGCTCTTTGTCCTAGGAGGGAGGGTTATGTTCTCTATAGCCACCCCTGTCACCACAGAAACCCAGGCTGGTGTTGTGAGAGGGAACAGACTGGGGTGACAGTAGATGGGGTGACAGTGAAAGGGGCCCTGGGGCTGAGGCTGGCTGAACTCAGGAAGCCAGACCCTGCCCCTCGGCAGGCTGTGGGTTCCTGACCCTCTGCAAACCAGCCTGCCCAGCTTCACACCAGGCTTTGCACGAAGCTAGAGTTCAAACACATCGGTGACCACAGTGGCTGTAGGAGATGGCGCACACCCAGGGTGAGAAGGGAGCCCATGGGGCTAGGACGGCCTCTCTGATGTGGTGCAGTGGTGCCTGTAAGACACAAGGAGAGGGGGTCCACTTGGAGAGGTGGCCAGTTGGACAGCCACTGCCAGAGTATGCAGCATAGGGGTGGATCTGGCTTAGGGGAAGGGGATCCCAGCTCCCCCACACAGGCAAGTGAGTATCCTGGGAGCCAAATGGGGTGCTCAGGACCCCCATCCATTGCCCAGAATCAGCCTTACTTATATCTGTCATAACAGCTCTGGGATGGAGCAGCCCCGTTCTCCAGCTAAATAAAGAGACACACAGAAATGCATGTCTCAGTGCTGGCCCGGGCTTCAACCCTGCTGTAATGTTGCCTCCAAGACTGCCTCTGTGCACAGAGAGCTTAGCAAGCCCCTGGGAGGTGTGTGCCTCCCCAGTGGTAGGAGGTCAATGTGACCCTGTCCCTTTGAGAAGCTTGCCTACTCCAGAGGAAATTGCCACCAGGAGCTGTCAACCCTAACGTGATCTTTCTGCCCACCTTCTGGGCCTCACACCCCACCTGACTCCACAGCTACAGCCATGGCAGGGGTGTCCTTGGATCTGAATCTGGAAGGCAGAGCTCTCTCTCCCCCTCCCCCTCCAGCACCCAGGGGTCAGCCCCATTTTGAAGAGGCCCAGGCCTTGGGGAGCCAGACATTCCCTAGGGGCAGGAAGCCTGGAATGCACCATGATGTTCCCCACACTGGACTCGTAGGAAGCCTCAAATCGACACCTACAGGTCAGAGAAGGGGCTCAGCCCCCTGCTGCACCTGGGAGACGGCAAGGCAGGCACAGGTGGGCGCCCGTTTCCAATTGAGCCCAATGGGAGGGCAGGAAGCAGATCCCTTGCTTGAGCTTCCTCCTCCACTCCATATTCCCCAAGGTGGGGGGACGGCCACCCACCAGGCCATGGCCCATATGCAGGGGAACTGAGGGGAGCAATAGCAGCTGTCCCAACAGGTGCACATGACCCCTGACTTTCCCAAGACCTATGTCTATGACACAGGCCTGGTAGACAGATGTGATCCCCCTGGTGGCTCTATAAACCTCCTGCTGAGGACAGTAAAGAAATGGGCAAGATGGGCTTGTCCCACTGGCAGGCAGGCCTGGGAGGGGCCAGAGCAGAGAGAAGCTTTTTGAACCCAGGCCTGCCCACAAACTTGGCAGACTGGGAAGAAGAGGGCATTGTCATTAATCGGGCAGCGTGAGGGCACTCAGGTCCATGGACTAGTTGGCCAGGGAGGTCAGCACCTGGGGAATGTCCACCCCTGCCTGGCTCTGCACCTGGGCCTCTTCCTGGAACCACACTGGCCTGAAGTCAGGATGGAGGAAGGAGGGCATTTGTGGCCACATGAACATGGGGCAGGGTAGCATCATGCCCAAGAGACTTCAGGGGCCAAAAATTGAAGCAGATATGATGCCAGAGACAACCCCTAGATGGGGCATGTCCATCTACACCCAACCCTATCCTGACTCTGAGACAGCAACCCACACCCTGAGACTTGACACACAGATATTAGAGCCGGGCAGAGGGGCCCAGCTCAGCTGGAGCACCCAGCCATACTGAGTCCTAGAGAAGAATCTGCTAAGAGAATTCTACTAAGAAGAATCTTCCAGGACAATAGGATGCACTGTGCCCCAGGGTTCCACAGGGTGGAGTAGGGGAGTGCCTGAGGGGCCTGAGAACCTCTAGTAAGAAAGGCAGCACCTTGCCCAAGAGTAGGCTGTGAATCTGGGGGAGGCCCTGTCCGGCCTTGTCCATTCAGGCTGCTCCCCAGACACCGTCCCTCCTCACTGGGACTGTCCCTCCTCACTGCAGCCTGCCCAGGTTCTCTATCAGCTGGTGGGGAAGGAGAGGATGTGCTGCAGCTGGGTAAGAAAGCGCTGAGGTCCCACTCTGCCCCTACCAGGGCTGACCTTGGGACAACTGCTTTCTTCATTTGGGGCCAGGGAGAGACACAGGGGAAGGGCCAGAGCTATCCATGGAGAGGACAACCTATGGGCCCTGGTGTTGAGACTCCCAACTCCCTAATTCTGCTCCCAGTTCAGATTATAGTATGACAACCTCCCAGAGCGGAGGCCATGGGAGGAGAGGGTCAGTCACCTGCTCCTTCAGGTCATTCAGCAGGTTTGGGTTGGCTTGTGTGGTCATCAAGGAGTTTATCCCAGAATTACCCTCCAAGTGTCCCAAGGAATATTCTGCAGGGCACCAAGTCAGAAGGGTGTTGGGGAAGACCCTGAACAGGACTCTCCTGGGCTAAGAGCTGAGCTCCCAGCAGGGCCCAAAAGAAGCCAGGCTCTGGCCCACCCAGAAAAGGCAGGATGGACCAGGGCCTTACCCTTTAGGAGGCACACTATCTGTGTCCTTGTCTAGATCCTCCTATCCCATCCAAGATAATTCTTCCAGGCTGGTGGTATAAATATGGCCATTGTGGTAACTCCATCAAAAATTCTGAAGAAGCTGAGCACGGTGGCGCATGCCTATAATCCCAGCAGCTCAGGAGGCTGAGGCTGGAGGATCATGAATTCAAAGGTAACCTCAGCAATTTAGTGAGGCACTAAGCAACTCAGCAAGACCTTGTCTCTAAATAAAATATAAAACAGGGATGGGGATGTGGCTTTGTGGTTACTGAATTCAATCCCTGGTACAAAATAAATAAATTCTGAAGAGCCAGGCATGGTGGCGGATACCCATAATCTTAGCTAATCTAGAGGCTGAGGTAGGAGGATGGCAAATCCCAGCCTGGCCTGGTCTACTTAGCAAGACCCTGCCTCAAAATTTAAAAAAATAAAAAGATCTCGTGACTGTGGCTCAGTGGTAGAGTGCCGGCCCTATCATGCACAAGGCCCTTGGTTCAATCCCCAGCACCACACCCACCCCATGAAGTTCTAAGGAGAGGGGTCCTCAGGGCCTGGTGGTGGGAGATGATCCTTCGGGGAAAGATTCATAATCACAGGATAGGTTTGAGCCGGGCTTCAGGGAAGTCAGAGGTGACTTTCTCATGGGACCCTCTAGTGAACCCAAGTGGAGTGGTGAGAATGTTCTGGAAGATAGCAGGCACTCTTGCATCCACCACTGGAGCTGAGTGAGGCCAGGTCCCTGCACCAGGAGAAGCAGGCTATCCATGTGCTGGTGCACTTTGCTTACAGATATCCAAGCCGGTGGGCAGAATCCATCCTAGACCTCCACTCAGCTCTGCCTCCTGGCCACAGCCAGCAAGCAGAGAGAGAATTCACCCGGTGGATTCTCGGGAAGGGCCTTGAAGGCAGACAGTGAAGAGGCTGGACAGGGCTCCCACCCTGGGCTTAACAGCACCCTTGACACCTCGGGGACAAGATGACTTACCAGAAAGAAAATGCATGGATTTTGAGGAAACCAGGCTGGTGGACAGCATGCGCCTGAACTGGGGTGAGAAGGGGGCTCTGAGGGAGGACTCTAAGCTTGGTGTCCACTGGGCATAACCACTCTGGGAAAGGATGGTCTTGACTCCGCTATTAGGAGCTGGGGCCCTGGTAGAACCTTTCTGCTTGTTTGCCCTCTTTGATGAGCAGACAGGGACCTCACATGTGTCACAAAACAAAGGGCTTCATTCAAGAGAAGACAGGCCAGGGCCAGGGTCGTGTGTGCTGAGGTGAGGGAGAGACATGGAAACCATGCTTGAGGAAAAAGGGGGAAGATAATCGGAGACAGCCCTGGACGGAGCCTCACACCCTCGACTACCTGCTCCCCCAGCTGACCGGCTGCTTAGCCCCTATCAGGGTAGCGCTATTCTCTCTCCTTGTCTGCTTGACCTCATGACTGAGCTGATAGAGGCTGGCAGAGGGTGGACTCACAAGGAGCAGTGTGTAGGTGATGCTCATAAGCTGGAAGTAGAGGGTTCAAGACTGCGGTGGTCAGGCCTGGGGTCCCTAATGTGGTTCCTGCCCTGGCCATGGTGAGGCCATGCTGGTCCACCCTGCCAGACATGGCCTCCAACTTGAAGGTATCTGAGTTCCAGGCTCAGACTGGAGCTGGACACTTCTGTGGACAGGGACACAGTGGGATGGAGATGTCACTGGGGCTTTGGGACTGTCTGCCAATTGGAAAGAAACAAGCCCTACTTGAGGGTGGCACTGGGCCACTGCTACCGGGGGTGCTCCCATCTTACCAGATGGAACAGTACCCACAGGTGGAACAGTACCCCCAGAGGAAACAGTACCTACAGTTGGAATAGTTCCCTGATGGAACAGTACCTCAGAACCAGAAGTTTCCATACTGGCAGCACATGGATGGGTCTGAGCTACTAGAAGCTGGGGGCTGGGGCGCCCCAACAGGCTGGAAGGCTTCATTGAGGAAGTACCAGTAGATCTGATGAGGAACAGTTCTTTAGTGTGGGAGACCCCTGCTGTCCACTGGGATTGGAGATGCTAGGTTAGTGGTGGGCAGAGTTGGGGAAGACCTGGCCTCTGGAAGCTGCGGTCCTGTGTCCATGAAGCCAGGGAATGGCAAGCTGAGGGGTAGCAGGGAGGGCTAGCTGGGACTACCCCAGCTCTCCCACACAGGGGAGGTGACACACGGAGGCAGAGAAGCCTAGGTCTGTTGGAGAACCCGTGCCTCCCTGAGCCTACTCATAGCAGCTGGGAGTCTGAGCCCCAGGAGGAAGAACAGAGGCCCAAACTTCCAGCTGAGGGTTTGTAGGGTTTGAGGAGAAGCAGCTGCCAAGCTTGGAGTTCCGGGCTCTGAATTAAGGAAGGAGAGGAACTAGAGGCTGGAGTTAGGGCTTTGAGCCCCACCAGTCTGATCACAGGAGGCAAGAGGTCTGCGGGTGCCTTTATCTGGAAGCTGGTAGAGACAGAAGAGATCCCTACACGGTCTTATACTCAGGAGAGGACTCTTGAGGCCCTTCCTAGCTGCCTACATTCTCCTTATTGCAAGAAGCCACAGGAACCTGGGAGCTGGGTTCCTCTAGGACAGAGGCAAGTGGCCTGGCCAGGCTGAGGGTCATCAGGAGGTGTGGAGGCAGCAGTATTCCCAGGGAGCCACCAACCGCCTGCCAGCCTCAGCCTAGCACAGGGGTCCCTGTCAGCTGGGGAGAAGGGACAGGAGGGGCTCTGCAGGACCCTCCCTTGTCCTGCAGCCATTCTTGTCACTGGAAGCTGAGGAAAGGCTGCACTGAGCTGGGCCGGGGGTCCTCTTGGCGGGTGTCTGAAGGTAGGGCTGGGGAAGCCAGTCAGGGAGGAGACTCTGAGAACACAGAGGACAATGGCCAGCAGCAAGGTCCAGTGCCTGCTGACTGGGGCACCCAGCAGCCTCCCTCCGCTGGGGAAGCAGGCTGGGCTGGGGGTACAGCCCCATGGACTGGAAACACCCCTCCAGCAGGGAAACCATGGGGTCAGAGAGGCACGGCCAGTTAGGTCAGAGTGGGCCCCTGCTCACAGTGCTCTCTACAGTGTGAAGAGGCCTGGACTGTCCAGCCCGACCACCTTGGCAAGCAAACCAAGGAAGGAGGTGTCTGGAGGTGACCAAGGGAACAGGGATCTTGATTAACACCCTAGACACACCCCTCCTCTCCTCCCCACAGGCACTTACTTGACACAGAACCTATATTGGCAACAAAGGTGGCTGCTCCACCCTCTGCCGTTTGTTCTGGACTGGGTGTCGCGTGGCATTGAGAGGTCAGGTTTCGACCCACTGGCGCCTCACCTGAGCTCCATCTCTGTATTAGCTTCGGATGAGAGATGCACGTGCTGGACTAGCAAGGCCACCTGAGGCAGAGAGCCCAGCTGACGGCAGGTATGGGTTAGGCCCACGGGGCCCTGGCCGAGTGCAGAGCAGGTAGGGTTGAACCCCCTGACCTGGTGGGCCCCTCAGCAAACCCCTGGGCCTGTTCCCATCTGTAACCAAAGGGAGAGGAGTGTTGGTGGCGCTACTCCTGAATATCTGGTCAGATCTTCTTGGGAGTTTGATTAAAACCCAGATTCCTGGGTTCCACCTAAGATCATTCTTGATGGAGTCCAGGACTGCCTTCCCCAGGCGGTTTCCTTCTGAGTCCTGGCTAAGTCCAGCCCAGCGGCCTCAGATATTTGCAGGGGAAGTAGAGGACTGGAGTGCCATGTTCAGCCAGGGCACAGGTGGGCCCTGCTTCCTCTCAGCTCTTAGCAACTGCAGGAGGCGGGGGAGTAAGGACGCAGCACTGCCTCCCCCAAACCAGAAGTCCTGGTAGGGTTCTCATCTGCCCACTTCAACTGGGGCTCCCTTAGACCAAATTCTCAGGGAAACACTAGGTCTTGCAGGCTGCAGGTTGAGGCTAGGGTGGGGTAGGACAGGGTCTCAGAACAGTGTTTTCTTGAGGAACAACCACCCCCACCCTGGCCTGTGCCATCGTGGGTCCCCTGTCATGTAGCCATCGGCAAGATGTATGACTATTGTGTAAAAAGCACAGGTGTGCAAGAAAGAAAACAGCCAAATCCAGCTCAGGCTGAGGCGGCCCAGGACTCAGAGCAACTCCACCTGTTGCAATTTGCATTCTCCTTCACAGGAGTGGCCTCAAGTGGTCTACTCTGCACACCAGCTTCCTGTAAGCCCCATGGCCCAGACTCCTTCCCTCAGGCAATGGATGATATAGCAATATAAACCAGATTTCAAACCAGGTTCCCCACCCAGCTTCCAGGTCCCAAAGATCCCATTCCTCCTTCCACCCACACACTTGCCACCAGCACCCCCTCTTCTCCCAACTTGTCTTCAAAGCCTAGTTCAGGTATCTGTGTCCCAGAACACCTTGCCACCACCCCTACCCCAGGTTGGCACTGCTGTGATCAGTGTGGTGTTGTGGCTTGTCCCCTTCTCAAGCCAGGTGCTACAGTTTAGATGTAGTTCGAGTGCCCCAAGGGCTCATGTGTCAAACTTTAATCCCCTCTTCGAGGTAGAAAAAGATGAAACTTAATATGGTAGGGGGAGGAGTGCCTCTGGAAGCTAATTAGGGTTAGGCCAGTCATGAGGATGCAGCCCTACAACAATCCTGATGGCTGTATGAGAAGGATCAGAAGACACACATGCTATGTCTTGCCATGGATGCCTACCATCTGAGGACTCTGCTGGCATGAAGGCTATCACCAGATGGCCCTGATTTTGGACTTCTAAAACCATGAACCAAAGTAAACCTGTTTTCCTTAAAACTTACCTAGTCTGTGTATGGTTCCTATGAACAGAAAGTGGCATTCTACACCAGGGCCTATGTGGATGGTGTATGGGGGCAATGGCAGATGCCATTCCAAATCCTGGTCCAGCTTAAGGCCAGGCAGGCAGAGAGGGAAGGTGTAGTGGGGCCTTTAGAAGCACCAACAAAACTCTAATGTGCCCTGGGGACAGGGCCTGGCCCAGGTGGAGTAGGAAAACTCCTTCAGGCTGTCACAGCAGCTGCCCTGACACAGGGAGCAGAGCCCAGCAAGGGTGGGTGTCTGGAGGAAGGCCAGTGACCCCCTCACCCGCATGGGAAGGATGACAGATCTCAGTCCTGGGAGACAGGGCACTTGGGAGTATCTCCTGCTACCAGGGCTCTCAGTACTGTCAGGAGGAAGGGCTTTTCCCAAATGGGGAAGTGGCTGGCCAGTGGGTATGTGAGAAGGGCTCCGGTGGCCAGAGTTGGCACGTACCATAGTGCCCGAAGCCCTTGGTGCCTTCTGGGAGCAGGGAGGGCAGCCTGTGAGTGGCCCACGGTGACCCAACAGCAAACCCACAACCCCTCAAACACCGAGTCAGGTCCCAGTTCCAAAACAACTCAAATGCTTTAATTGCCTGCCCCAGGGTCCACAGGCTTATCACAAACTCTTAAATAAGGCCAAGGGCCCCAGCTCCCCAGCCTCCAGCTCAATTCAGCACTTTGCAGGGAGGTGGCCCACAGCAAGCCTGGCTAATAAGGCTCTGGCTTGGGAAGTACCAGGGTCCCCAGTCCAGAAATTCAGAGACCTCCTAGGACGGAGCTGCCACTCAGCCTGTCTGCTTTAAGTCCCTGAGTCCCTATAGCTGCTTGGCTTCCAGAAAACACAACTTTCCTGGGTCAACGCCTGGTGTGGGTAAAGGCAGCTCAGGAAGTCACCGGACAGGCTGACAATGCAGGACAGGCCTGGGGCTTCCCTGGGGCAGGAGCAGCAGACCTGCAAGGACACCAGTCCCAGACTGTTATTGCTGCACCAGCAGCAGGGACCAGGGAAAGTGTGTCAAGCCATATACACTGTACAATGTACCACTCTAAGATAACCAAGTCCTAAGACACATAAAGACTATCTAACAAGAGGTTCTGCTTCCTCAGCTTCCTATTCCAGGCCTGGGCTGAGGTCCTAGACCTGTCTCAGGCAGGGAGCAGAGACCATCTGGCAACGGGTGTGTCAGGCATCTCCCCACAACCACCCTGTGAGGTAGGCCGTGTTGTCCTACGTTACAATGGGGAACGAGGGTTCAAGAGAGGCGAAGGGTCTGCCCAGGTCACGCAGCAAGGAACAGCAGCCAGCATTCGGGCCAGGTCTGTTGGGCTCCAGAGCCCACATGCTTTCTCTAGAGAAGAACAGGAAGTAGTCCTTTCCAATGAAGACCCTCACGTTAAAAAGCTGAGGGGCTCTCAGTCAGTCCAGCCTCGCAGGCCCCAGGGTAAGAGCTAAAGATACTCCAAGGGATTGGCCATACCCCAGCATGGACTCCTGGCCCTGGGCAGCAGAAGCAGAGGCTGATCCTAGACATTCGGCTGTCCCAACAGCACCTGCAACCAACTTTACAGGTGATGGCTCTGGCTGCCCAGTAGCTGTGGGCAAGGTGGGGGCCGGTCAGGTCCTGAGGCCTTGTGGCCCCACGTGGGCAATGCCAGGCCATTGAGCCAGGCAGTTTCCAGAAGGCTTCGGAAGCGGGCCTTCAGCGTGGGGCCAGGTGGGCCGGTACTGTTGGCAGGAGTAGGTGAGGGAACACGTGACCCAACCCCAGCAGTTGCCTCTGCTTTCTCCGGGCCAGGGGTTGGTAGCTTCCGCCCTGGTTTCCTGACCTTGGGGGCTGGTGACTTCCGAGCCTGGGCTATACTCTCTGGCTCATCTCTGGCCACAGTGGGTTCTGAGGTGGGAATAGCTCCAGCCTCAGTGTCAAAGTCACCTGAAAAATGAGCACATAGTCAGGCTACAGATCCTGCACCCTCAGGTCCCATCTCCTGGTCTTCAAAGCCATCCAGAACAGTGGTTCTTCCCCAAGCCAGGATGGCACCAAAAGGACCACACAGCCATCATAATCTTTCCCTGCATGTACCTGCTGGCTGGCCCATCCAAGCTGAAAAGGTGTACTCCTCCCCAGGGACTCCAGAACTCTGATGAAAAAGCACTGCTCAGGAGAGGCTGTTTGGGAGCAAGGATGAGAAGAAGGAGCCCAGCAGGTCAGGAACCACTCTGGCCACGTGGGAAAAGTGAGGCACAGGAAGAGAGTACTGTGCCATATGTAAGGAAGCCATCATCTTTCTGCCATAGCACCTCCAAAGTCAGAACAAGAGCTTTGGAGCAAGATCCCACACAAAGGCTGCCCCAAAGCAATGCCTGAAGGGAGGTGGGTGGAGGAGTTGAGCAGGGGACAAAAGGAGTCCCTGACCAAGAACACACCTATTGGATGCCAGGAGGAGCACAGGAACCCAAGAGAAATGAAGACAGGAAAAATTCTCTAGGGGCACCCACAATGGGTAATTCCTCCAAGGACAGTGGAGGACCCATAGCTCAGCAATCCAGTGGGGACAATCTAGCCAGGGGCAAGAGCTGGGCCCTGGTCACTTCTTTGCCAGGCCCAATTCTTATAGGCTGGAGTTACAGCAGGAGGGAATGTGGCCCCAATCATTTCCATGTCAGCCCAGGAAGAGACTTGACCCTCTCTGGGTCCCAGACAGGTCCAGGGGAGGCAGAGGACAAGCCAAGAGGCTGTGTAGCTCTTGACACTACCCACACTCTAACCCACTCTTCCTGAGACAGGACAGTCACACTTGCATTTCTTTCCACTCCACTGAGACCTCTGTCCCCACTTTTAAGTGTTTAGGCACAAGGAATGCTGATCAGCCCAACCCCAGCTCTACCTCTGCACTCAGGCCTCCACCCAGATACGGGGACTCAGCCAGGTGGGGAGGAAACCAGGAACAGGATCTTCAGAGAGAAGCCTGGAGAAGAGGCTGGGGGCAGGAACAGGGGGTCAGCAGGGAGAAAACACTGAGTGGGCAGGAGGCCTCGAGGTCAGGTGCACTGATACAAGAGAGAATAGGACATTCTTTTTCAATCCTGGCTGAAACGTGAGTGTACACACCACACAATGCTGCAGCAGCACGTGGTCCTCTGGGACATAGGAATGCAAGCAGAACAACGGTGCAAGGCCTCATTCACCCAGTGATGCCCATTTGTGGAAACACTGCTGTGCACATCAGTGCTGAGAGGCCCAAGGATGGATCCATTCAAAGGCAAGAGCGTCTGAGTGGGACCTCATCAAGTGTGAGCATGGGGAGCAGCGTGCCCTCCCCTCCCCCAAGATGAGGAAGACAGGAAAGTGGGCTGAAAGGACAGTTCAGGAGGGTGTTTACAGTTAGGATGAATTCAGAGCAGGAGACACCCAGCTGCCAATTCCAGCAGGCAGTGGGTTGAGATGAGAACTCAGAAGATGGATGGCTGGGATGTACAGAGACCTGGGTAGAAGTGACCACAAGTAGGAAACAGTGCCTGGCCAGAGCCTCAGGACACCAAAGGGGCCTGCACCAAAGATGTAGATGGCATAAGCACAGGAGGAGGGAGGCTCCAGGAAGAGGTAGCACCAAGGAGGACCAAAGTTCCCAGGGAAAAGAGCACTCAGTGACGCCTGGAGGGAGGAGAGAGGGGTCCCTAGAGCCTACCCTGGAAAGGCAGGCACTGCCGTAGAGTGAGATCCAGGAACCACTCAGCCATCTGCTGTGACCCCCCCCCACTCACACAGTGCACACACCTGTCACTCGCTCACAGCTCTGGTGGCTACTGGGGCTGCCCCATGCTCACCCAGCTGGCGGCGCACGCAGTCTCGCCACTGTAGGCCCAGCAGATCAGGGTAGATGTCAGGCAGCTGGCGCAGTGCCAGCAACTTCAGCATGCGTGAGGTGCAGCCATGCAGGGCACGCTCCCGCAGCGCACGCTCCTCTGACAGTGTAGTGGGCCGCAGCTCCACACGGTGCTCCTGCAGCACATGGTCCACAGAGGCAGGAGGCAGCCGTGGGAAGAGCCGCTCCTTCACCAGGTGGATGGGCACGAAGATGGCGCCGGCCCGCACCACGTGGGGAAAGGGGCACTGTTGCGTGCATACAAACCTCTGCAGCTGGGACAGCAGCTTGCTGAGCAGTCCCTGCACTCCCTGGCAATCCTGCCATGCAGCCTGGCCCCACGGTCCGGCCATCTCAAGCCACTCCCGCAGCTTCTCTGGTGGGGAGTGGGCCACGGAGCCTGAGATGGCATCACACAGGGATGCATGCAGCCCTGTGAAACGCTGCTCTGGGGTGTCTTCTGGGGCTACAGTAGGAGCTGGAGCTGGAGCTAGAGCAGGAGCTGGAGCTGGAGCAGGAGCAGGAGCTGGAGCAGGGGCAGGGGCAGGGGCAGGGGCAGGGGCAGGGGCTAGAGTCGAGGCTGGGGCCGCCACAGCTATGGCTGGAGGGCTAGGCAGGGCCAGGTTGAAGCATGCCACTGGCAAGGGCTGAGTGAGAATCTGCAGTCCCATGGGTACAGATGATGGGGTGAGTGCAGGCTGTACAGGGGCAGGAGCTGAGGTGGGTGTGGCTGGGTCTGCAGCTGCAGGTAAGGGTGATGGACGGAGAATCTTGAATTTTCGGAACATGAAGGCCACAGAGCTGTGAAAGTTGGTTCTTGGTGTGGCCTCTGTGGCCACTGGCAACCCAGGTGCTTCTGTGACCATCTTTTTCAGCCCTGACAGACCTGAACCTATGTTCCCTGCGTCTGGAGTGTCCATGGTTGCAGTGGGCTTGGTTTGCACTGTAGGATCAGGGACTTGAATGGGAGCAGCCTCTGCTGTGGGCTTCTTCACAGTCAAGTCCAAGGCCACCTCCTCCCGAAGTGAGCAGCAAGGCTCTGAGGATCCCTCCTGGGTAGTTAAAGTCCCCCTGCAGTCTTTGTCTTGGCTTTCACTGGTAGCTGGGGCTGAATCTGGCTCAGCTGTGGCCTCTGGCGTCTGCACATCAAGATAGTCACGGTAGGGGGCCAGGCTGAAAACATTGTCGATAACAGGCATTGGTGGAGAGCCAGGCGGTCTAGCACCCTCCTTCTGTGGCAGAGACTGGTGCTCTTGAGCACAGGGGTGCAATGCTGGTGAGGTGCGGGGCACTGGACTATCTCGGATGACAATGGGAGCTCCAGAGTGTTCACTGAGCGGGGTCTGGAGCTGCTCTTTCCTGCAGCTGGGCAGCCATGTCTTTTCTTCGGTTTCCTGTGCTGGCTTTTCAGCAGGCCTCGTAGGCTCAGAGCATGGCTGACTGGCTGGCAAAGGCTGGCACGACTGCTGGAAGGCACTGGGCTGTGGCACAGACTGCACACTGTTCTGGGAAGGTGGTGTCCCTCCAAGCCCAGGGGATGCCCCATAGAGAGACAGGTCATCCCGGGCATAAGGAAACCCCAAAGTCTGCGGGGCAAAGTCCAGTGGGCACCGTGGAGCAAGAGGAGGCTCCAGCTTGAGGCCTGGTGAGGGTGCTGGGAGTGGGGCAGAGGGGTAGGAATAAGAGTCCAGTCCCACTGGCGGTATGTACGGAGTCTGGGCTACCTGCTGCCTCAGGTAGGGGCTGCCCAGCCCACCAACCTGGTATCCAGTCCCCTTATGGACTCCCAGAGGCTGCAGTGGGATCACAGAGCTGTAGCTGCCCTGCTTCTCCGGGTGACGACAAGCTGGGGGGCAAGGCAGGGCCTGTGGAGGGGGAGGGAGTGGGTAGTGGGTAGGCAATGCCTCCTGGCATGGTGGCCCCAGGGGCTGAGCCAGCTGTGTCCAAGGACTCGAAGGCCCCTCTACCATTGCTTGTTTGGAGTCCCCAGAGTAAGGACCTGTGTACTTAGAGGCCAGAAAGCCTGTGCTGTGGATGGTCCGATACTTTTCCAGGAACGCCTGGCATGAGGAGAAACTCACTGAGGGGTCTTTGCCAGATCCCCCAGCTGGCACTCCACGTAAAAAGGTGCTATCCAGGGCCTGGCCCTTCCCAGGAGCTGGGCCCAGAGAACAGGGTGGGTCAGCAGAGGACAACAGGGGCCCAGTCACCAGGGTCCAGTCAACATCCAGTGGCCTCTTAGCTGGCCCCTCCCCCAGGCAAGTCGAGAGCCCATAACACAGTGGGCTGCGGTAGACCGGTTTGGGTGCTGCCAGTGGTGGGCCCGGGTATGTGTGAGACTGGGGGTTGAACGGCAGGAGCTCAACAGGGCTGGAGTCCTGCATCTTCTCAGAACCTTCCGCTGGTGGGCGGTACAGCAGGCAGTTGGTAAACAGGCTGTCTGGCCGAAGTGGAGGTCCTGCTACGCTTGTGGAGTACAAGGGTGAGTATGGGGTCCAGGATGCCAACCGCTCAGATCCTACCTTGGAAGTGGCCCCCATGGGACAGGAGAAGTAAGCGCCCTTGTAGTTGCAGGGGTCCTGGTTACCAGCAGAGGGGGGCAGGCTATGTCCAGGCCCTGAGTCTGCTTCCAGGCGGGGCAGTTTGCCATATATCACAGGCCCCAGAGTCCCCAGTGGGCGCTTCTCCGCCATCACTGTGAAGGCGTCAAGCCCTCCAGGGCCGCTGCTACTGAATAGCTGACCTGGGAGAAAGAGGGAAGGAAGCAAGGCAGTTAGAAGTGCAGGGTGCCAGTCAGCAGTATAGAGGCTATGCTCCCTGGCTCACTACCACCCAAGAGCCTGGTACTCAACAGACACTCAGTTAAGAATGAATGCATGAATCATAAATGCAGACGTCTCTATTTTTTTTAAGCTACAAAATCCTTTGTTGAACAAATTCTTGTCCAATCTCCCTGCACATAACCCTCGCCCCAATCCAGGAGTCCTTTCTGTTCAGATTTCTTCCAAGTGACTCCCAAGACCCCTTCCTTGGGGTTCCAGATTTTAGGGCAGTTTTGAGGATCACTTGCCTTGGCTTATACCCACCAAAATAGATGGAGACCCATCCATCCCAAAGTCACTGATGAAGGAGATGGAACAAGTAGCAAAGCTCCTGCCTGTCATTCCCACTATTCCAAGATGCCACAGTGATCTCAAAAGATACCCCTGTATGGAAGACATGGGATCTGGGCATTGTTTTCAAATTTTGTTTCTTGTGACTCCATTGATCTTCCAGCCTTACCAAAAACAGCAGATCCAGGTCTCAAACCCAAGTCCCTAGGGCCACAGCCAATGCTGTTACTAGGCTTGGGGTCTGGAAGGCAGTCCCCCAGAAGAGGTGGCTGGGGTGCCTACATCTATACAAGCCACTCCCCCTCAGTGAAAGTCAAGGCTGTCCACCAGATGGTGCTGTGGTGCCAGCGGGAAGATCCCAGCAGAGGGGGAAAAGGGCCCGTGTCCACGCCCAGCCCTCAGGCTGTGGGTGGCTACTCCAAGGCATATGGGGTCATGTGGGGTGTGTGGGTGTGAGTATGTGTGTATGTCTCTCTCTCTCTCTCTCTTTCATCCCCTCTCCAGGAAGAGAGGTCCCAAGGCCCTAGAGTGGTAGCTGGCAACTACTTCCACTGTACTTTACTGATAGAAAAAATAAGTGCTAGAGAAAGACCGAGGCCCTGAAGCAAGGCCAAGCAAGGATGGGAACCCAGACCCTGAGAGGTCAAGGGTAGAGAATCCTCAGCACAGCAGGCATTTAATGACTCATGAAGGTCTCCATCTGAGACCTGTCTGCTGCACACTGACCAGCCTCTATCTCCCGCAGTAAGCACCCCATTCCCTGAAACCCTCAATAGGTTAGAAAGGATGAATCAGCTCTATCTTGCTATGATTAGACCACCAGCTAAGTGTCCCAGGTTTCTGTCACCAGCAAGCAAAGACCAGTCCTCTCTTCTCTTATGGCAGGGGTCCAGTGTCAGCCAGCCAGAAGCTCAGTGTTAGACTAGGAAGGGGTCAAGAAAAGACAAGGCAATGCCCACTCCACTCCTAGCTTCCTACAACAAAGAAGCCAGGCAGGCCTCTCAGAAAGAGTTGATTCATTGGGCCAGAATCCAACCCCCCCAGGGAGTTTAGAGAAGCTGGAAGAGGATATCAGAACTCAGGCCACAGAACCACTAATGGTATCCTATGTCAAGGACCTGTATCCTAGGGAAAAAGTCCCCATCAACTCCACAGAAATGATGCAAGAAGAGGTTGTACGTTTTGGGGGTGCTGAGCTCCCCCTCTGCCCTTGGGGAACTCTGATTAATTAGATGCTGGCTCTGGTCTCACCTCCCCCACATACTCCTTGGAGCCTGCTCTATATCCACCCTCAGCCACTGGGGTCTTTTTCTCCTGGGCTCAGTCCAACCCATGCCCTTTGCCCTGGAGACTTTCTGAGACCCCTCTGGACCCAGTCAATAGACACAAGGCCATCTGGGACCTTCAGAGTCTTGTGGGAGGAGAGGAGGCTCCAAGGAGCCAGCAGAGAACTCTAATAAGAGGCATAGAGGTGGCCTTATCTCCTGCCAGCAGATGGAGGACCCAATGTACACTCCCTCTAAGAAAGGGCCTTCCCTTTCAGACAAAATGTATGTCTCCTTCCTTGACATACAAAATGAGGTCACAAGCAGACACCTAGAGAGGGCTGGCCCCCAGGGAACAGGGTCCCATTACTCTTGGTGGGGGAGGGAAGTTCTATTGGTCCTTCGAGCTGAGCTTCAGCCTCAGCCAGGACCCCAAGCAGGATCCTGAAGAGTCTGCCACCCCTGTACTCCCAGTCCTCTAAAGTTCTGTGACCCCATTCCCACTTCCACCTCCTAAGGGCTTCATGATGAAATAGGTGATTCCAGCCCAGTTGAAGGCAGCATCTGGACTCTTGGGAGGGCTGAACCACTCCACATGTATTCTCACACCTCCCACCTACTCAGCTGAGGCTCTGGGCTCTCCAGACACTACAACCCAACCTGGGGCAGCCCACAGTATCCAGCATGGGTGGAAGGGAAGCAAAATCGGATCTATTCTCCTTCCCCACTACGGGCCCCGCCCATAATCTTGGTGCCTGGGGCCCACAGTCGACTTCGCTTTGGGGCTCTGCTGCCCCAACCGACTCCACGGCCTTCCGGGTCTTCAAAAGCCCCTCCCGGCTGCGCTGGGGCACACGTGCACCCCAGCAGGCTGACACACTGGCCGCCGCCACGCATGCAAAAACGTGCCTGCACGTATGTGCATGGCCCAATTCTGCACACATGCCCCTCTATAACTAAGCTCTCCCCTCGTTCGGGCACCGGACACACGTGAGCACGCCGGCAGGCTGGCGCACAGAGCCCCACGGACCGACGGCCACAGACTGGCGGGAGGTCCCAGGGTAGGGGGCTGTCCGGCCACACAGTCCGGACAGTCACCGCCTTGGGGCCATCCTGCCAGCCTGGGCTGCGGCCAGATGGTGAGTCAAGCGGTGGCGAGGAAACCGCAGGGCCGCCCCATCCCAGCAGGGCGCGTCCAGGGCCCCGCGGCGTCTCGGCGTCCTCCGCCCCCTGGACCTAGCCGCCCCCACCGCCCCCTCAAACTCGCCCGGGCAATCCACGTGAGCCGGGCCCCGCGGGAGGCCCGAGCGCTGGCCTGAGCTCTCTCTCGCCAGCCCGGTGCCGGGGTCCCGCAGGAGCCCCAGAGGGCTACCAGGCCTCGGGAGCCTCGAAGTCCGAGGAAAGTGGGGGCAGTGGCACAAGCCTAGCCCGAGAGCCCTCCCGCCGGAAGCCGCAGCACCTTGGCCCCGGCCACGCGCGCACCATCCCCGGACCGACCGGTAGGGGCGCCCTGGGGCAGGGCCACCCACCCCCTCTCCACGCGCCGCCC